TTTTAGATGTTAAATGTCACATCTTCGTCATGCATCTAAATAAACATCTCTCGAACTTCATCGTGTTATTTTTTTTATATTTATGGTTAATCTGCAACGGATGTATACAACCATTTTGCAGCCACGTGGCCACATCTATCAAGAGAGGGTGATTCTTTTCTGCGGCAGAAAAAAGCCAAGAGTAAACATTGAGGTAAATTATATTCTAAACCAGTCGCTACCGAATAAACACATTTTAAAGATTCCTATGAAAACTATAACACACTTTCGACACCTACTCTTCTCTACGCTTCGAGCATATGATTAATGCAGCACTTATTCTTGTCACTTTCTCTAGATGTAGAGAATAAAAGCAATAAAAAAGATTGTAAATTGCATTTTGAGTATTTTAAAATTTTCTTAAATTTTTTTGTACTCTTGCGAATTTAAGATATTGCACCTGCAACGATATTTTTATATATGACATTGCACATGATTTTACTGGATATTCTGGGAATTTCGGAATTTCTGGAAAATTGCAAGATCAAACGGATTGACTTTCACAATGCGTCATTGATGTTTTATCGGAAACCGTGCGTATTACGGTCTCACAGAAACGTTTTGGATCACGAACGCAACTTGATATTCATAACATAATCGATCACTTACCGGCCTGGGCGGCAAAATGAAGCGGCGTGTTACCCTCGTTATCGGGCAGATTCGGGTCCACACCTTCAAAAGAGAGTGCCAGCTCCAGCATCGCCGCCGCGCCGTTTCCAGCCATGTAGCTTATGGCCGTCTGCAATGGCAAACAAATAATCCCCGGTTTAGTTTACCCTGAAAGCACATCCGATTACGTAAACTCGCGTTCCAAACGAAACATTATTTACCCTCGACCTTTCCGCACCGTATTGCCAATGTCTCTTTCACGCGTTTATGTGACCATGACATGAAAAACCACCTCGATTCCACGGCGCCATATTTCGCGGATTCAATCTAACTAACTCCGCATCGATGACTAAACTCAGAATGAGACGAATTTAAAATTCAGATTCAATCGTTTTCCGCTGATTTCAGCTGACTCAATTAAATTCTTCTTTTGATCGAAAAAGTCATCTTTTTTTTTTCTGCTAATTCCGCCGTACGAGCTTTTACTCAGATTTATCTTTGAATACCGCGTTGCACCTATTGTCACTACACTCGACTGACATGTAAATATGTTGAAAAGGGAATGGATATCACGTTTTACATCGCGATTGTTGAAAAGTATGACATCTCGTAGGAAGACGTTCCTCGTTTCCACCATTGTTCGCTGCCTCCACCGACATCGAGATTCACAATGGACTATCCGTTAAGAATCAATTTATTAAGTGGCTATTGAAATGTTCGAATGTTATTGCTTTACTTGCGTTAGCGTGCGCCGGTATACAAACCGATGTTAAAACACAGACTATGCCAACAAACTCCTGGAAGAAGAGCGCGTTTGCCTTGAAAACGATGCGCGAATTGTAAACGTAAATCGGCAAATATAACGAGTTCTATTTCATTCGTTTCGAACAAAACAGATCGCGCGGATATACAATTACTTCATATTTAAGATGTTTGACACTTCGAGATATTTTTATAGATTTCATCACAATTAAATAAACACAATTAATAACATATAATAATAACTTGTATAATAACTCGTTATGTTTGCTGGATAACATTCACAATTTACATTGCACGATATCACATTTTAAGTACCAAAATTCAAAAAATATGCCGAGTGTAGAAAAAATGACGAGAGCTCGCAAAGAAATGTGACTAACAATGTGGTACAAGAAGGAATAATGATGGGTCATCATGATGAGGAAGTCATTTAGATGATTTTCATTAAATAACAATATATAAAAGTAAATAA